GAAAATGATCTTCTTAAAAATGTAATACAAAGCTAATCTGTTATACAAATAGCACAAAATGAAGATCTAAACTAAAAAAAATCTAAAGGAAGATAATCCAATCAAAATTATTACACATTAGTTACCTTAGTTTTATTTGCATTTGTTGCAATTATTTTAAGCATTTGTTGTTTAGTTTTTGATACCACCCCTTAGTTTAGTATTTGTGATCACAACTTCATTTTATAATTTTGTTTTATTTTATTTTTGCCTTGTGTTGATATAATACTCATAAGTATTAGCACTAGAAAATCTTTAGAATAATTATAATCTCTTTATCTTTATAAATAATTTAGTCTTCACTCTCAAAACTTATTATAAACTATATTCATAATAAAATCTACCTTTCAGAGTATAGTTTGTAATAATACTAAATATAATTAAATTATATATTCAAATGAGTTATAATTTTCTCTTTTTTACTCAGATAGAAACTTTTCTAAAAAGTTATATAGTTTCAATAGTAAAGTATAGTGAATTATCAGTTAAGTTTTGCGTATTGGATGATAATATTAGTTATTATCTAATTATTTAATTTTTATTAACTTAATTAATTTAAACAAATCAAATCACTAAATTTGTAATATTCTTTTTTATATTAGCTCAAAGTTATTAAATAGAAAGCTGAAAATATTTATAAATTCATAAATTCATAAATGATATTAAATTTATATTGAATTCTTATTATAAAAAGTAAAATATACTATTATACTTTAAATTATTATGTAAATTTGAATTATATATACTGCCCTGCCTAAGTATTAGCCAAGATCTATGATTAGAAAATCTATAAATATTAAATATTATTAATTATAATCATATTTATGAATGACTTTTTTAATAAATATATTTAGTATTATAAAAATACATATAAAAACTTAGTGTTAGAATATTATATGATATAATATAAAGTTATAATGAAAATCAATGACTAGCATTTAAATATATAATATAAAATATTCTCAACAAAAATTTAAATTGACTGATTTTCTTAAAATTATCATGAATAAAAAAGAATCTATCTATTTTTTATATAAAAATAAAATTACTTTATTATTTAAATTTAATATTTATATATAACATTAATTATTGTAACAAATTTACTATATTTATAAAATATTACCTTTCATATAGCATAAATATAAATTTACATGTAATTTATTTATCAAATTATTATTCATTAAATGATTAAAAATAGTTTGAAACTTAATAAACAAATTGTCTCAATATGATATAGTATATGCTTTATAGAAAATATATAACAGAAATTTTATATAAAGCATAAGCAATTTCTTAGCAATATATCATAAATAATCCTATATGCAAATGATTATAAATCTCATATAAATATATAAGAAATTAGCATATGAAATATATGATTTCCAGATACAAATAACAGAAAAGCAGATATATATTCTGTAAGTTTCTTTTAAATTACTTACACATTTTATATAATTATATAAATTTCAGATATAATAATATACACAATCCTAAAAATTACTGATACATTCTATTATATATTTTATAAATATCTTTTAAATTACTTATAAATTATATGAAATTTTAGATACAATTATACATATAACTCTGAAACTTACAGATACATTCTAATAAAAATTATAAATATATTTCTTATATATTCATATTTTTGCATATGACTAATATCTAGTTTATTCTATTATACTTGCTATAAAACATGTTGGATTTGATTAAATATTTTGAATTATTCATATTTAAAGCTTTTACAGATTCTTGTGAAGTTATTTTCTCCCAGATTCTGTTAGAAAATTTAAATTATTAGTATTTAGTTAAATGCAAATAATATAGATCAAGTTTTTCAATTTACAAAGCAAATATTCAATATTTACCTTTAATAAGCTGGTAATAGTTGGCAATATCTTTGTGACTTAACTATCTTTGAAAATAAGACTTTCTTTTTTCTTGATTGATATCAAAGATAAATTTGATAAAAATAATATTATCAAAATAAGAATCAATAGCAAATTTATTAAATCAAATAATAATATATTTACTTTAAAATATTTTCTGATATTATGAAGAGAATTTGATCTAGATGGTATTTCTAATAACATAATTAAAAATAATATTAAATAAATATGAAATATAATATGCAATAAACTAAAATATATATCTATAAAATATTAGAGTTTTGTTTGATATCTTTAATAAGGGAAGTAACGTGTTATTAAAAACAAATACATAAAATTTAATTGATCTGATTAAATAAGTTATATTATCAAATTATTAAATCTAAAATCCTGAATAAAATCCATCATATTGCCATATTTTTATTTTTATGATTATTTTTATGAATCTCAGAGAATAGATATTCATATTATATTTGCTATTTTATTATTAAGCAAGTTTAATTTTATTTTACTATCCAATACTTGCTGATTTATAGACTGATATATATTTATATCTTTTTTATTTTTTCATGTGTATTTTCTAACATATATTATTTTCCAGTTTATTGTATATGTATATGTATTATATTTGCATTGCATATACATTCCTGGCAAATTTCAAACAAAAGTTTATGTTTCTTATGTATCTCTATCATACACCATGGTTTCTATATAGGTTCATAATTTCTGATACATTTTGAGCAGATACTTTTCGAGTTTCTTATGCATTCTGTTCGTTACTTATATGGTTTGTAATTCTGACACATTCCAGGCAGTAACTTTTCAAGTACTTTATGCATCCTAATATACAGCTCATGAGGTTTCTGACAGTTCGTAATCATTGTGTATATATTCCATCCATTACGTATATGGTCCATGATTTCTGATGTATTCCAGATAGAAACTTTTTTGAGTTCCTTATGCATGCTGACATATAGCCTGTGAAGTTCCTGATCATTGTATATGTATTCCGTTCGTTGCATATACGGTCCGTAATTTCTGATGCATTTCAGGCAGAGTTATGCATCTCTAACATTCATTTCATGAATTCCTGACATGTTCGTAATAATTACGTATGATTCCGTAAACTCCCGTATGCATTACGTAATATCCCGTATGATTCACGTAAAAATTTCTGATACATTTTTCCTATAGGGATAGATATAAATTTGCAATTCTGTTTTAAAGTTGAATAATTAATGATTTAAGATTTTATTTTGTGAATATTTGGGCTTTCTGGAAGTGATTATTGTACATACGTATATCATCAAACTATGACATTCTGCGAAAAATGATTTTATCAAATATTCAAATCAATATAAAACAATCAAATAATAAATAAAATGGAATAGACTTTCAAACAATTTATGTCATTTATTTGAATAATTTATCTTTATTATTATAAACTGATTTACAATTCCAGATTCAGTGATTGATAATGATAGCATGTGATACATAGTTATGAAAAAAATAGTTAACAATAAGTACGGCCCAACTTCATAACGATAAGATAATTCAACCATATCTATGGATTTGTTGGTGCCATACATCAAGCGTATAATTACCTTCCTAAAACCAGATGATATATGTCAACTATCGCTCAGGGTGTTAATTATCATATCAATATCAACGCGAAAAGATTTCATAGATATTTTGTTGAAAATGAAACAAAAATTAAAATTTATGTTGGTGATGTTTTAACATATGATAATAAGGCTTGAAGTCATACTGTATATTAGTTTGAAAACACAACTTCGAGGAAAATCGAAAAAGTGGATATCTCAAAATTCTGGAGTGTGATTTCTCGACCAGCACAATGGCAGCAAAATAGCAAGTCATTCATTCTTTAAATGCTATAAAGAAAATATTTCGAATATATGCTCAGGTTAGATTGCGAAATTCCAAAAATGACTTTGGAAGAGTCATAAGACTGGATTTATATTCAAAAAAAATTGTAAACTTGGCCTAGGCATGAATTTTCGGCTGAGCCGGTATTTGGAACTAGCCGACATTTCTCGTGGAGAAATCGACGAAGAATGTTGGAACAAAGTGTTTTGACAAGGAGCTTTGGATTCGGGTGGACAAACTTTGTTGGGCTAGATGGATAATAGCATTCTTTCCATATGATAAATGTTATGGAAAGATCACACAAAACGACATTTTTGCCGGTGACATACCGGATGGAAGAGTCCATGTGCCTTTCAGTACTGATATAAGTCTGTACTTGAGTTTTGTTGCTAGCTTTTGGGTGCCAGACAAGAACTCGTTATGAGTGAAGATGATACTAAAATTTACATTTCCTCTTTGATTTGGGTGGCTTGTTGTTGATCAAGATAAAAATGAAAAAAAAGACGAGCATATGTTCGTGCAAATTTAAATGATATGCATAGTTTCAATCGAGAAATTGTAACATCAAATTCACGCGTACAATTTTTATACATACATGTATCGGTATGTCGCAGATTAATATGAAATTTTTGGCCAAAATTATGCGGATCATGTAAATGATTTAGCCAAAATTATCATAAATTCTTATGATTATATAGTGATTTTTAAAATAGTATTAATTTGTTAAATATAAAATACAGATTTATTTTGTAGTAGTATTTTATATAGCTAACTATTGTATAAATTTGCTAGTATATCATACCATTCGAAATTAAGCATCCCTTTTTACTATAAGGGTGCTTTAATTTCAGATACTTTTAAATAATTTAGTTTGGTGCCGTATAAATCCTGATAAACATGATCTCAACAGTTGAAATATGCCCACAAACGAAATTCCAAATGAATGACATCCCAAATACATGAAATCCCGTGATAGTTTTGGTATTCCATGCATTTGGTATGCTATACTTTCGGGATTTCGTGCATTCGGAATGAAGTTCTTTTGGGATTTTATTCATTGTACGAAATCCTGACGAACATGATCCCGACATTTCATAAGCTGACAAACGAAATCCCAACGGCATCTGAGTGAACGAAATCTCAAGCGAACGGCATCCCGCATCAAACCCATTTAATTAAATTACTAAAAGCAAATTTAAAATTGATTTTAGTTTACTTTTCTTGGGGTGCTTTTATTTTTGAAACTATATAAAATAAGGGATGCTTATTTTCGGGTCGTGCTTAATTTCGGAATGGTGCTTTATATTACATAACTATAATGATAATTGAAATATTTCATTTTAATCTGTCACAATATACATATATATCTATATTTTTTTCGAATAAAGCTTTATTCGATTGTAATAATAAAAATCCCTTTAATCCCCTATCGTTATGCCCTTGTCAGGTTACGAGTGGCAAAGATGTGTTAATTTTTTAATCAACCCGACAAAATAATCGACACAAAAAGAAAAAAAATGAAAAAATACGAACGAAAACGAAAGCTTAAATCTAGTTGAGCGTTAATAAAAAATGATGAGAAGATAATTTTAATATGATTTTCCCTCCAGGCCTAATCCTGACAATATCCTTGAACTCAAAATCAATCTTAACGCTTATTTCAAATTTTGCTGGGATCGGTGCACATTCAAGTTGTGCATGCTCGTGCTAATTGGAATTTATAAAAAAAACAATATGAAACTATTTCGGTCACATAAAATAAGAGTGTCTCTTCATGGATTAGCAATTACAAAGAGTTGTCGAAGTGTACATCCCCAAATGCACCACATTACGTATATATATCCTCCCTAATACATACTCTGGCACAGTCTTGCCAAAAAAAATTTACAAAGATTTATTGCATCATTCTGGTACTTGAGAGAGAAGAACAACAAGCGTCACTTCACCTATTCATAAATTCGAACAATTCGAACTTAAGAATAAGATAATCAAAAAATTTCCCGCTGAGATAGATTTACTCTATGGTACATAACAATTTTAATGATAATTTAACAAAATTTTGCTTTTATATTTATATAAACAATATTGAAATTTCTCATTATAACACATTGTATAATTATTTTGATCTTAATTTAATGAGACTATAACATGTCAACGAAGATTTAATAGCTTGTTTGGTCATAATTATATGAATGTCATATTATTGGGTGTCATATTAACGATGTTTGGCTACATGTATATGAAAACTTGGTAAATAACTTCAAATGACTTGTCTCAACAACAAAAAAAATGTTATTAGTTCTTTCGTTTAAAAATCTTTTTTCAGCTGTCAGATGTCGTTTACACGTGATTTCTTCGGTCAACATTAAATCTAACCCTAACGCTAACTCCGATTTTAGTAGACCCACTAAAATTAATCATCTATTATTATATGAGTGTAGTCATTTTGTCACACATAACTTTAATTTTATTAATTATTACAATGATTTACATATGACTACATGTGATAAAAAACAATAATACATGTATAATGAAAAATTTGTCAATAATTGATCATTAACAACGAGAAAGGAGGGAGTTGAAAAACTATGCTTTGTCTTACCAAGTTTATTTCGCGAACATATATTATGAATTGCTTTTACTTAAAAAAAGATAACGATAAAAATCAATACAGGAATGTCTTATCGTTATTATTAAAATATGGGATTAACAAAAATCTGATGATAACATTAATTCCTATTTTTAGAACATGTATCTGACTTTCTGAACACAAAGAACACTGATCATCTACGCCTATATAGGGGGATAAAAATCTATATCGATATCCAAAAACCTCAGATTTACTATGATAGTAAAAAACCAGAATTTTTTTTCCTGAAAATTCTTGGAATTTTTTTCGAGTATTAGATGTTCATAAATATTTCCCACGCCTTCAATACAATCGGTCACTATGATAATATTTTTGATTGAATATTACTTCCTAAAGTGTTCGATTAATTTTTTTTGATACCAACAAAAATGAATTGGTCACTTTATGTTTATCTATTAGCGAAATCTTCTATTTGATTCAACTAGTCAAAGCGAATCTATATTTCACTTGAATTGGATCAGTGCGCATCGAAACCCATGTATTACCTTTACGTCCTAAAGTGGCGATTCATTGTAAAGATGATTAGTGTTTATGTTGTTCTTTGTTTGACTCAACTCTTGCTATCGACATATGTAAGAAATCCCTTATATAAGAAACTCTCCACAATTGAAAAATTTATAATAAAAAAACCTTTTTATTTAAGAGACTCTCGATATAAGAAAGAGTTTGGTTGGATCCGGCAACTTTCTTATATCAAGAGTCACTTGTATATATACGCATATTGACCTTTTTACCCATAATCATAAAAAGGATTCTTTCTTCTTATAAAAATAGGATGGATGACAAAAAAAAATGAAACCCTTGTACTTCAATATGCCTCCGCTTACAAAAAGACCGAATTTCTAATGGTCAAATAGTGATTATATTAGTATCTTTAAAACATTATAGTAAGATTAGGTAGAAGTGATGAAAATTTTGTCTTTACTTCTTTTGTCAAGCAATTAAAATTAAGAAGTTATCATTAAATGATTAAAAAAATAACAACGATATTGTAATCGCAACAATAACAAAAATACTTTCATAACAAACTACCACGAGTCCCTCGGATAATTTTATCGACGAAACCGTCAAACACAATCATCCGATCACCTAACGCATTCTGTAGAATCGGAAACAACTGCAATTACCAAATCAAATAATCCGGAAACATCTACAGTCGGAGAATAAATACCAGAAAGATTTGTAGCTAGGAATTCCAAATACCACTAAATAATCCAGAAGTATCTAAAGCTTTGAAGCAACGCGAGAAGTATCTGCAAATTCATTCTCTCATCACGCTAAATAGCCAGAGATTACGGCAAAATTAAACATATTCAAATGCATAAATTTGGCTAATTAATAGAAAATGAATAGGAAGAAGTAAGGTTTATTGGCAAAAACAAATGGACAAGATGAAAACGAAACATCTATGAGCCAATCCTGGTTACGTGTATCACCCTTTTAAAAGAGAAACCAAAAAGAAAATTGAATACTTTGAATAACACAATATTTTTTTCAATCTGTTTAATTTCATTAATTCTTCCATTGTCAATATTGGGAGATTATTACTGAAAGGAATCATCCTTTTTTTTGTCAACGAGCAAAGTTTAATAGTTAATTCACACCTTCACCGTATTTCTCATCAACATCAAATAACATTGGTTTGATTGAAAAATTAACAATTGATAATTGCTAATGAAAATGAAATAGCATCAAATTAGATGCAACAACTTTTTTTTACAATACATTAATCATAAACACGATTTTTCAAAATTAGCATTTACAAGATGCGAATCATGATAGCAAAATTTACAAATATAATTTTTTTATTAAACTTATTACAATAATTCTACAATCATGATCAAGAGATAATATAATATTCTTTTGTTCTATATTTTATATATCCTCCTTTATCTCTATTTTATAAAATTTATTTTTAAGACTGTAATATAATAACGTTTCATACGTTATGCATAACCTTTTGACGATTGGTTATTTCAAAACTCCTTTCGTCAAAACTTACGCGCGTAAACACATGAAAATGCTTATAAGGTTTTGTAAATACATGTATTCCGGTAATTAACAACAAATAAATTCATTATGCATGCACATGTGTATGGCTTGATTGGATCCCTAACAAAGTTTTAGTAATTTCAGCTGGAATTAAATCAATTGTGGCATTCATTATCACTATCATTTACATAAAGTGATGTTGTATTGTAATTTACATGTACATACATGCACTATGGACCGAAATCTTATGTGGGACCTATGTCGTAAATTTAAATTTTTAAACTGGAGTGTCATAGCAATTATTTTATCTTTGGAACATAAACGAAGAATACATGTATATGCATAACTAATCGGTCAGTTCCCTGAACTCCATGGGCGCCAGTTTTTTAATTCTTCCTTGAATCGTGTTACAAATCAAACTATGCCGAACTAAAGAATGGACGAATCGCAGAGTAGAAAAATGACAGATAAGTTTAAACTATAAACAGCACACTACACATTCTGAGAAAATTATGCGTCCGTAGAATGCAAACAATTTTGCTATCATAATTCTTTTAAAATGACTATATCTTTAATACTTTGGGTTAAGCGCAATTGAACCACATATGGCAAGTTTATGATCCGATCCTAATTTAAACTGGTTTTTAACGCTTGGCAAACAATTGACGGTTACATGATATGCATGATAAGAAATTTAAAAATGCATTCATTTAAACAAACTTTAAAAACAAGCAAAGATCGTACCGAAACAAAAATATTTTCATCGTTCTAGACCAATATTAAAGCAAATTCTAATCTATATTCTATGTCGTTTACTTTACTTTTCATAGTCAACCTGTTTCTACGAAATTTTGAGGAAACGTGACTTTTTAAGCATATATACATATACATGTATATATGCAGTTTTATTATATCGTACTAACTTATAAATTAAACTTCAAGGATGAATCATCTATAATAAAAATTATTATCATCCACTCCAAAATGGTACTTATTAAAGTGTATGCTTAATCATGGAATTTACAAGTCGCGTACTTTTAATGGTGTCAGTTTCAAGAATATGCATTGAGAAGTGTGGTTAGCATATTCTTCAAACTGACACCATAAAAGTGTGCTTTTAGAGGAGTGTGACTGCAAGTAACTAATTTACTTCTGTAAATTCGCGTGTTAAGTTATATCAGAAACATGCACTTAAATTTCGATTCCCTATGTTATTTTTTAATTTTATGCAAATTATTGTATAAATCTTTTTGTGTCATCTCGTCTTATGATTTAAACCGTAAAATTTAATTAGAAAAACTAATCTCTTAGAGCTGGCCAGCGTTGACATATTTTATAAACTCGCCATGCATTAACATAACATGCCGATGAAAAAACAATTTAGATGGGGCTACGTTAATGATAATTTAATCATGTATTTGAAAATTTCTGTGAATAAGATGATGCATTACACGTCATCAAAGCATAAAGTATTCTCGACGAATGAAGACAAGGCCTCTTAATTTATAATACACACGTCTTTAGCATGTAATGTGAGGTTTGTTTCGTTTAGTTTTGTTTGTTGTTATTCTTTATGTACATGACAAACATCCGAAAATGCAATCTAAAAATTGGAGTTACAATAGAGATACAAGCTACATGTATTTTTCTTGAATTTAAAGTTAGTGTATTGATTGGCTATTTCCAAACATGTGTTGCAGAGAACTCCCTTATAAGTGAATATTCGACATATCCACGTGTATTAGACTGGTGCAACTACTGATTGTCACATTATCAGCATGATGGAAATTCATTTTTATTGGCTGTTAATTTTGATCATTCAAATATGATTGGTTAGTATATCATGAATTCATAATACATATAACATAGTAGCTCTTTCAATTGCTATTCGTAATAAAAAAATTTTATTAGTATGCTCATTATGCTTAACAGACCTTTTAAAACTTTTGGATCAAGTATTTAAATAGGTTATATATAAAATACAATAAAAGTATAAATGTTTATATTAGTTAACTTAAATTCTACATTTATATAATATTTTTAATTCATTATATATTTATTAATGCATTTTGCAAATTGATATAATTATATCTCTTTCATTTCTTGAATATATTCATGCTTTTCTATATCTTCTGAATCTTGTAAATCATGTGATTCTTCAAACTCATCATTTTCAGTAAATATGTCAGCTACTTTTGTAAAAATGAATTAATATTTTTATATATTACTGTTCACAATGTCGATATTCATATTGCATTCGATCATAGCAATGCCAATGAAAATAATGATCACAGATCAAGATCGTACCATTATCATTATCATTTAATACTTTATAATAATCATCACAAAGTGCTGATAAAGGAGAAGCGTCTGTACTATACCGTTGATAAGCATATGATGTCAACTTCCTCATTTAAAACAGCAAGGTTATATTTTAAAATTTTCTTTATCTTGGAAATAATTTAGTAAAGAATAAAGATCAAATCTTGCAAATGTACATGTATTCACGTCACACGAGTTTGTCTCAAATACATGTAGAATTTTGAATCACTACATACATGTACATGAACCCATAACTGTATGACGACAACGATTATTACATGCACTATTATTTAACCAATTCACCCATTTTAATCCATTGAGCTCGAAAATGGAATCAAATACTCATGATGAGGAAAAAGCGGTACTTGAAATCAGCAGACGATGGAGACGTAATAGGACAACGTCTTCTTGGTTGGTGTAATGAAAATGGAATCGGAACACAAAAGATGAAAAAAAAGCACTTGAGTGGTACTTGAAATCAGCAGAGGTGGAGACGTAATAGGACAACGTCTTTTTGGTTGGTGTTATGAAAATGGCATTGGAACACAAAAAAGATGATTTGAGTGGTACGTGAAATCAACAGAGGGTGGAGTTGGTGTTATCGAAATGGATTCGGAACACAAAAAGATGAGAAAAAAGTATTTGAGTGGTACTTGAAGTCAGAGGAGGATTGAAATACAATAGGACAATATAACCTCGGTTAGTGTTATCAAAATGGTTTCGGAACTCAAAAAACATTTGAGTGGTATTTGGAGTCTTCTGGAATAACTCAAAACCCAGTTACAAATGAATATTTTATAGTGATGGAATCGCATGATTGTATTAAATGTATTAAATGCCAACAAAATAAAAACTGTGTGCTTTGTTTCTTTTATCGCAAACGATGAATTGTCTATGGAGATAAAGATATTGACAATCTATTAAAAGAATGCTAAAATATATTCCTTTTGAAAGATTCACCAACGTTGAATATCTTACAAAAGGAGGTTTTAGATCAATTTATAAAGCAACCTGGTTGGATGGACCATTTTATTCTTGGGATCATGAAGAAAATAAATTTAAACAAGATAGAGAAAGAAAAGTTGTGTTGAAATCATTACACAATTCAAAACAAATTACTCCAGAGTTTATACACGAGGTAAATGAACGTTTTCTAAAGTGAAAATTACTTTTTGCTCTAATAAAATCAAAGTTTCAAAAATAGATTCAGACTGCTCTTAATTGCACTGATTCTAATTATATTAAATATTATGGAATCACTAAAAACCTAGCTACAAGCAAATATTCAATCCGTAAATATATTCATTCCAATTACGAAAAATTGACTTGGGGTCAAAAATTAGACTATTTATATATCTTATCAATGATCTGGGAAAAATTCACGAAGAGGACTTGTGCATCGTGACTTTCATCTTGGAAATATATTATTAAAGAAAAAGCTTGACATCATGAGTTTCCTCAAATTGTTGATTTTGGACTTAGTATATACAAAAATCTACTCAAAAAATTTGTGGAAAGCCATACACTGAAGCAGCAGATATTTATAGCTTTGGAATGGTTATATACAAAATCATAAAAGTGATCGAAGTCATGATATACATCTCGTATAGAGATCTATAAAGGAATACGACCTACGATACCAAATAATGTACCCGGATTGTATAATTTATTATTGAGAAATGTTGGGATCCTATTCCAGAAAACAGACCAACCGCTGAGGAACTGAGTGACTTTATCTATTCTATCCACTATCCGGAATGGAAACCAAATGCGTTGAATTTACAGTGTGTTAAACTAGAAAAATAACAATTTGATAAAATTAAATATCAGCAAAGCATTTCTACGAATATCAACAAAAAACAACGAATCCATTCAAATGCAATTTACAACAGTCGAATGTTTACTTCGAAATTAATATCAATTCCAACTGTTACAGGTATGCACACTTATTTTTATATTCAATCAAAATGAATTTCAAATTGATTCAAATATATCAAATTTAGGTTCTACAAGTGTTAGTTTGTATGTTCCAAACGAAGATAAACTTTCATTTGATATACTTTCTTTTCATCAATTTCTTTAATTCTTTTTCTTTGGTGATAAAACAAGCAGATTTCGATGCTAGTATATCAGTCTTACACGTGAAGATGATCAATCTGCTTCAACTAATCACCAGCATCAACAACAATAACCATTCCAGAGCCAAGTGCAACTTCTAGCAACGATGTTTATGACGTTCAATATGAGGACATGAGGAATAGAACAATTGGCAGTCACGGTAATTTAATATTTATTTATAATTTGCTTGCAATTATCAAATTTCTGAAAATAATTTAACAATTGAGACCTTTATATATTCTTATTAGCATCTTGGAACGAAGCCTCAAGCAAGCAAAGTAACAATAATTCTTCTCAATACTAATGGTGTTGATCCCACTGCTGCCATATAAAATGTCAAATGTGCGTATAATGATAAGTACAAGCATCATATATATTAATTAACTTATTTACTTATATCTCATTTTTTTGATTGCTATCAGTGCCTGTTAGGATTTAATGCTCCCCGTGTGGGAAACAGCCTCATGATTAGATGTATATTTTAGCTCGTAGAGCAAAGTATTAAATCCAGATCGAACACTTCCGATATTTTTGTTCTATTATTTTTATATTTATGGAAGCAAAATAGCTTTCTATCAGACAAGCGTTGCCTTATTATATCTATCTATTGACCCTTATTATTTAAATCTCCATTCATAAATAATAATAATTGGATTCAATATACTTCCAATATATTTCCATTTTATTTCTTTTATTTTTTTATTATATAGTTTTTATATTATCTTATAAAGGAAAGATAAGGAACAAGAAAACAAACTCTATATAACACTACGTGGTTCAGAGACATTATTACTTCTTTACTATTATGAGGACCACTTTTATTTTTCGTATATCGGATCACGCATAAAATAGTTTGTTTTAAATAATACCTTCGTTAATTTAATATGGCAATCTTACCAAGATCTTAGCTGGTATCCAAGTTTTTCACTTGATGAACGCATAATTTTCAAAATTTCAAGTGACAAGTGGCTACAAGTGTTAAATATTTCATGTAATGGACAACTTTGAACCGAGTATAATGAATTAATGAAAAGTATTTATAAACTCTTGTCTCAATAAATAATACACGTGATTACATCAGTGTTCATGATTCATAATCAGTCATACTCGTACATCGATATACGACATTTAATTGAATAATCAACGATAAAAAGGGGTTGCTTCTATACACGCGTTTTTTTTAAATAAGAAATGCGAAATAAAAAAAATGCTGCTGCTGCCAAAGCATCAAAGTACAAATAGATAAAGTAGATTGTACTACATTCTGATGGCAGTAAGTTTGTTGGAGACTGTTGATGTTGAATCTTTGTCACAAAATAATGAGAAAAAACTAATAAAAGAGAATAAAGAAACGGATGCGAAAAATCAATCCGATGTTAGTTGATTCGACTTCTAGCCAAGCAATTGAAGTCATGCAAGAAAAATATTAAGAATCATCGTGTTACATGAACATGTATTCACAAGATGCACGTGATGTCACTTTTAGCACATGGCATGATTCGAAATACATGTACTTGTATAAAAAAAATTCATATACATCATCAAAGTGTAACTTCAAGCTTTCAATAGCGGCACGTTCAGCTAGGCATAATAGCTTATAATTTTATGATACGATAGATGAATTCAATCTCAATAGGATTGTAATTGCCTAAATTTACCATTAAGCAGTCTAATTTGGTCAGCATTTATATAAGAAACACACCTCCGGGACCATAGTAAAAAAATAAGGAAGTGTGCACTTATAGCGAGCAAAATATAAGTTGCGATCAAGGCCATGAATTTAGAGAGAGTTTATTTAGTGCGTGCATTTATAAAGTGTACTCTTAGGGAAGGTTCTCTGTATCAGGTGAAAGGCTTACAAATAAAGAAAGCAGGATAATGCTTTACATTCGCAATATGATGGAGTGATTTAAATAATTTGGAAAGGTGAGTAATAGAATCTTTAGATGGATTAGGAATTGATTGGTTTCGTATAATCTCAATCTATTTATTATATTACATTTTAAACTAATATTCTAAGATTAACAGTAAATAAATAGTATTATTTTAATATAATTATCTATTTCTTACAGTAAGAATCTAAACATTAACTTGCAAGAATATGAAAACTTGGGAAATTTCCGACAAAACATTGTACATGTATTACCTTTTCCAAATGTTTGATAATCCAACAAGAAATTTTGCAAAAAAGGCTCTCTACTTCATTCTTGTGAATGATCTCTTTATAAAATGAACAACCTTCAGATATTCACCATCCTGGTTATCAACATAAAATTCCATCTAACATGCGCCGCCGTCAAATTGATCAAGTTATAAATTCAAATAACTTCCTTTACTGCGACAGAAATCAAAGTGCAATTTGAAGAAACACATTCATGATGTACAATTGCCAGAATTATAGGAATGGAATGGAGAGATGGAAAATGTTGTAAGGGTAATATTTCTCCGGGCTATACTTGATGAAGCCTTGTTTCTCTTCTGAGAATCGTACAGGAAATATTTTTGGTTCGACTAACGTTATTAGATCTTAAATACAGTCAACTCCTGATTTGCAAAATGATCGGTTATGACCTCGTTAAACCGTAATCCCGAGAGAATACGTGTACTAATAGTTATCGGTAAATCAAGCACAGTTTCAATATGGTGTTCTGGGGAGAGAGTCGGTGATTCGCGATTCTGTTAAATCGGTGAATCAAGAGTTGACTATATATCATCATTTTATAAAATGAACGTGCTATCATTATCTCGTTGAGCTATTATACATGTATAATGCTAATAATGGCATTATAATGAAGCATTGTGCATTTGCACATGTACATGTGAAACGTATTTGCATTTTGTTCATTTGATCGACATCGTTAAAAATCTAATTTTTGAGAACTGTACTTTTGCTTTTTCTTCATTACAAGAATATATTTATCATATCTCTTCAGATTAGATAATTTTATGAAAAAATAATGTCATTATAATAAAATGGCTTTATATGTTAACTCGACAGAAAACAGACGTAGAGAAAAAAGAAATTGTATTTTCCCACTAGAATCAGCAGAGCACGGAAACGTAAAAAGTGAATGTAATAAAACTAGAAAAACAAGTAAGAAATATTTCATTTAATAGTTAGAATTGACAGAAGTAGTAAAAAAGGATGTTATAATCTTTGTTTCTGTTTTAAAAAATATAGATGAACAAAAATTTCGGAAAAAAGCATTAAATTCAGCAGAAGATACTAAATGCAAAAGAAGTAATTTTTAAATTAAAATTTAATGTACACCCTCCTTAATTACACCCCAAATGTATGTCAAAATAGAGTCTGTGGGTGTAATTAGGGAGTTTGAATTAGCAGAAGTGAAATAATAAAGAAAATTTATCATCATTTTTTTAATAGCAACGCAAAAGACTCGAGGAAAATTTAATTTAGATTCATGTTATCAAAAAGAAATTGGAACACAAAAAATAGAGAAAAAAACATTCGTATGGCATTTGAAATTAACTGATGGTGGTAATGTCAAAGGACAATGCAAGTTAGGTTGGTGTCATGAAAATGGAATTGGAACGCTAAGAATTGAGAAAAAAGCATTCGAAAGGTATTTGAAATCAGCTGAGCGTGGAAACGCAAGAGGACAATATCATCTTGGTTGGTATTATGAAAATGGAATTGGAACACAAAAAAATAAGAAAAAAGCATTCAGATGGTATTTAGAATCTGCAGAAGGTGGCAATGCCAAAGGACAATACAATCTTGGTTGGTGCTACGAAAATGGAATCGGAACACAAAGAAATGAGATAAAAGCATTCGAGTGGTATTTGAAATCAGCAGAGAATGGAAACAAAAATGGGCAATTTAAGCTTGGTTGGTGTCATGAAAAAGGAATTGGAACAGCAAAAAATTGGAGAAAGGCATTTAAGTCGTATGTGCAATCAGCAGGGAATGGAAACGCAAGAGGACAATATCATCTTGGATTGTGCTATACGAATGGTATAGGAACTCAAAAAGATGAAGAAAAAGCATTCGGATGGTATTTAAAATCAGCCAAGAATGGAAATGCTAAAGGACAATTTAACCTTGGCTTCTGTTATCAAAATGGCGTAGGGACACAAAAAGATGAAGAAAAAGCATTTATATGGTACTTGAAATCAGCAGAGGGTAAAAATGCCAGAGGACAAAATAATCTTGGTTGGTGTTATCAAAACGGAATCGGAACACAAAAAGATGAGAAAAAAGCATTTAAATGGTACTTGAAATCAGCAGAAGATGGTAACGTAACAGGACAATTTAATATTGGTTTTTGTTATGATGAAGGAATCGGAACACAAAAAGATGAGAAAAAAGCATTTGAATGGTACTTGAAATCAGCAGACGGTGGAGACGTAATAGGACAACGTCTTCTTGGTTGGTGTTATGAAAATGGAATTGGAACACAAAAAGATGGAAAAAAAGCATTTGAATGGTATTTGAAATCTGCAGAGGGTGGCGATACTGGAGGACAAAATAATCTTGGTTTCTGTTATGATGAAGGAATCGGAACACAAAAAGATGAGAAAAAAGCATT